GTATTCATGTACTTATATTTACTATTCTCATTTATATTTTTATAAAAAACAAATCATATATAATTACAATAATACAATCGTATAATGCGTACATATACATATAGTAGGTACAGTAACTAGTTTGTAATTATATCATATTGACTACATCATAATCATCATTCATTATGCATTGTTCATTATTTAGTAGCACAATATAATTTTGGAAATTAAAAACCATCATCATAATAAGTATTTACAAAATGCTTTCGATGTAAAAATTCATTTGTTTTTGTTGTTGTGGCTAATGTTGCGCTTGCTGTTTTTGTTGCTGTGATTGCTGTTGTTACTTCGCACCAAACGCGCGAATGCAAATTGTCGTGAAACTATAACTCTCACTTTTTTAATTAAAATAAAAATTATTAAAAACCGCTTACTTTATTTTTCAAAGATAACAACAACAAAAATGTAGCGCTAACAAACAAGTTACCTTGCAGGTATTGTAAAAAACATATGCACACAAATATGCATGTATATAACAGATAAATTTATAACTAGCTCGGAATTCTTTGTAACTTTAATTTCTTTAATTTATAAACTAAGTAACATAAATTCTTTAGTCGTAAATAATTACTGGAATTATAAGATTTCGCTTTCGTTTCAATTAATTTTTTTTGTTTTTTTTTGTAATACGCACAAGGTGGAATGGCACTTGTTAAATAAAACACAAAATATTTTAAATTAAATAAATACTTAAAAGAAATGAAAAGAATATATGTATATTTTTTTTTAAATTTAGAATGCGTTTAACAGCCCACTTTAATACTCTATATATATTTAAGTAAGCCAAGAGTGGTCATAATTTGAGCCTTCTATTTATATGAATACATGTACTTTATCACTGAACTTTAAATATTTTTATTTTGTACCAGAAACTGATTTAATTTAAAAAATTTATAAAACTTAAATAAAATTTATCTGCGTTAATTGAAAATATATTAATAATAATTTTATAACAGTTTAGAACCAATTTTAATTATAAAAGCTATCTAAAAATTAAAAGTCCTTTCAATAGTCCAGCCAAGTACAGTATTGGGTAGTCGAAAAAGTCTCTTCATATTTTGTCAATACGATGCTGTATCAGTCCGTGTAGCATAATAATGGTTCGCTCACACAGTTCTTTTGAAGTGAAAGATGCACCTCGCTCTGGTCGACCTATAGTTGAAAATTTCAAAAGGATRGCTACGAAAAGAACCTCAATGTCTATGAAAAATTTTAATGGACCGAATTAACAGCTGCGATTCTTTACTGGAACCAATGGTAACAGGAGACGAAAAGTGGATCAAATACGAGAATAATGTTCGAAAAAGGTCATGGCGCAAGTGCGGTGAARCTCAACAAATGATCGCAAAGCCAGGACTGAATGTGTGGTGGGATTGGAAAGTAATCATCCACTATGAGCTGCTCCGGCCTGGTCGTACGATTTATTTTATATTTTACTGTCAGAAACTAATCCGTTTAAAACAAGGAATCGAAAAGCGGCCAGAACTGATCAACAGAAAGGGCTTCGTATTCCATCAGGACGACTCYAGACCACACACATCTTTGATGTCACGGCAAAAACTGGAAGAGCRTGGCTGGGAAGTTTTAATGCCTCCACCATATAGCTCTSACCTTACACCATCGGACTACACTTTGTTTCGGATAATGCGGAACTCCCTTAATGAAGTAAAGTTGGTTAAAAGAGAAGCCTGTGAAAATTACTTGCCACAGTTTTTTGTCAAGAAACCAGAATAGTTTTCACTGATGGAATAATGTTTCTGGTGGAAAAAGGCAAAAAGTGGTGGACCAAAATGGTACACAATTGGTTCATTAAAGTCCTTTATAAATATAAAAATAAAAAAATAAATTGAAATTTGATTAGAAATATGAAAAGACTTTTTCGGCAATCCTATATTATCCTTTTAAACATGTTTTGAATAAATGCACTAATAATCCGCTTGTTTCATACTTATGTAACCTCGATTTGCTAGCTTAAAGGGATTATAAATAAAAGAAAAATAAAAAAATTAACTACGAATATAAATAACCAAAATACATGTCTGCCGTTTATCAAATTTTTTTTTTTAAGTATTTTCACTTTTGCGCAGAAATATATATTTACCACAWAAAAATGTGTAATAAGCACTTTAGTTGAATAAAAAAAAATGTTGTCATGTTTTAAAAAATTTACTTTTCAAAAATATATATTTTTTATATATATATTAAATATATATTTAAAAAATAAACGAAAACTAACCACTTTAGTTTAATAAAAACCTTTTCAGTTAAGAAATTAAAAAAAATGTGCCACCCGCACCTTGARCGTAGATACACACGTAACAAACATCATTGTTGCACCTTTAATGCCTCCCAGGCGCCTAGACGCATGCTACAACAATTTCTTGGCTGGCTCATGGCAACCAATTCTTTACAAATTAGCTGCGCCACAGTCGCGCTGACTAGATTTCAATTACATACACACTATACATATAATCTCGTGACTTGCACTTTTATATTTTGTTGCGCTTTCCTTAATTACTGCACATTTATATAACTTTGGTTTGTTTTTTTTTTTCGTTTTCTAATGGTTGCTTTTGTTTGCTAACGGTTTCCAGGCATGAGTTCTAGCCAATTGGCATTACATATGTAATTTGTGCGCATACAATTCGATAGAATATTTTTTTTTTTGTTGTGTTTCTTTTTTATTTTCCCCACCCACWCGCTTCTGCTCGAAGTCCCGCAAATCGCTTTGTGCCCTTGATTTCCGTTAATATTTGTGCCTATGCCATTTACTTTTACATTATTTTTATAATAAATGGTTTGTCATTTAAAATTTTTATATTTTTAAGGAATTACATATTGCTTCATTTTTTAATATTTTTTTTAATTTTGTGTTTTTTTTTTCTGTTTTGAACATGCTATTTTTTTAAAAACCGAGAAAATGTGGTATAAAATTGTTAAAGCACACTCATATGTGTATGTATTAGTATCTTTTATTTTTCGAGATTTTTCGCATACGTGTGCAGATCGCAAGCAACAGTACTGAAGTAACGGTATTCTGCTTTGCATTTTGGCACGCAGCCATACATACATACACTTAACTGCCGATCATGCGCGAATTCGCTGCATACATATAAAAATAACTCTGTAGGTATGTAAGTACATAAGTAAATAAGTCAGTGGTACGTACATAAGTACGTAAGTAAGTATTAAGTATTCCGCTTGACGCTTAGACACTAGTAGGAAACTAAATATTGTAGCAAACCTTCAATCTTATATCTAGGTGTAGTAGATCCTTAAGTCGTACCCTTAGACATTAGTGCTTAATGCTTACTGCTTAAACGCTTAGTCCTTACTGGTGTCTAGGGCTAGAGCTTAGTTGCTACTTATATACTTAGTTGTTGCATTTCTCAAGCCCTGTGCGAACACGCTTTATTGTTTGTTTATTTGTTTGTTATTTCCCTCCAGCTTCATACTCCCCTACTTGAGTTTCAGCCGCGTTGCATGCAACTTATTCTCCTAATCACTGTTTTTTTGGATGTGCTTCTTAGTTTCTTACTTTCTTACTTTTATTAGCGTCCGCCTTCTTTCAACACTTTTCCCGCCCAACGAATTTMACCAATTGCTTCTGTCTGCTGAGCAAACATTGACACTCTGCTAGAGTGTTCCGTTGCGCGCTCTTAAGTGGGGCTGTCTGTTGTGGAAGCCGCTGCCGATAAGCTGCCGTCTTGCAATTGTGCCAGCGCTTTGAATTTCTGCGAGTTGAGAAATCTGCGTTGAAGTAGAGAATTTTTATTGAATCTGCGCGCTCAAAGTAATTTACGAAACACTCACCTTGGATATGAGTCTCGGTGCATGAGCGTGTAAATTTGKATTTGGGCTTCGTCGAAGGTGTGCGGTGTCGGCTCCACCATATTGCGATTAACGATCTCTCGTACGCGCGAGTCCAGCGATACTTCACGTGGCGACAATATCGAAATGTAATCCTCGTAAATGAGGCGCGCCTTCTCCTCGATCGCTTCGGGACTGCTCTCCTTTTTCAGCTCTTCGCAGGCGAGCCAAAACAGTATGTTCTCCTCGCTGAATTCGCTGCGTAGGAAGTCACGAAACACTTTGCGTCCAGCTGGAAGAAGAAATTGTCAAAAMAATATTTATACAATGCTAACATAAATGAGATAATAAATGCAAAGACATTTAAGCTATTTTCAAGTCCTTCCTGAAGTTCGAATATATTAAACTATAATTTATAGTCGATAAAACCTAGTTATTTCTATGCTCTTGTTAAAATGAGCAGAAAGTGCATAACGCAATTACAGTTTCGAACTGAAAACTTTGGGTCAAGAAGTTATACTGACAGATATTTTCTTCTTCTTTATTGGAATAGACACCGCTTACATGGATATCAGTTAATTTAAAGTCGAAGGGGACCTCTACATTATTTATGAACCCCTTTAGCTTATCTGTGCTATTGAAACCCTAAAGGAAAACGAATGAGTTGCATCYCCGTTCTGCTCTTGCATTCTAGCACTGGATTTCGCTGTCGATCAGAAGCTGGCACGTTTGCTGAGCACACGGACCCAGCCTTCTGACTTGGAGTACGAACGAGATCTTTCAACAATTTGCCCTTAACAGAGTCCAACTTGCCGCAAACGTAGGATACATTACTGTATATTGGCCAAAAAACAATAATGCCAAAAATCCAGTTGAATACAAATTCTCAAAGTTGTGTGGAAGAAGATGAAGTAGAAACATCCAGGTACTTTCTCCTCCATTGTCCAGTTTTGCAAAACTAAGGTTGAACTTCTCGACAGTCAAACATTTGGTGAACACGGAAACATTTCCGAAACAGAAATAAGCCTTATTAACAAATTTGTGATCTGATCAAAGCGTTTCGTCGGGTCTGGTGTTTGGTCAAGGCAGAACTTTCTTAATGGATTAAAGTTGGCCTCAAGAAAAAGCGAAAAGTTTTATACTGACGGAATAATATCTCTAGCAGAAAATGGCAAAAAGTGGTCGACGAAAATGGTACAAAACCGTCTTCTGTATCGGAACCCACACTGAACCTCAAGTAAATTATACCACCACTTCGTAAATACAGTATAAGTGCCAATAAAGACCAGTTTCTAGAAAATGCAATGAGTGGTGTGACATACGGTGGATTTGACCCACACAACTGCTACATAGCAGTTAAGTTGTCTGCGCCAAGATAATCAATTAAAACCACTTGGCCCAACATACTTGAAGGCAGAATAATTTAGCGCCAYAATATAAGCACATACAAAGCGAATATGAATCATTTTTTTCTAGATAGCAAAGAGACAGGGAGGAAACTCTCGCTAAGTGTAGGAAATTATTTAATCAAAATTTTTAGGGGAAGGGAAATTAATTGCGGTTACGTTTCCGCAGCGGCGCAACACGCAAATCACTGTTGACTGGCACGCCGTGGAACGAAATAAAAACAACAACACCAACAACAGCAGCAGCAGCAATGAGCCATGCGACAGGTGAATCAGCAATGCTAATGCAGCTGTTAAGCGTAAGGGCATCGCGTGCCTGAAATATTTTTGCCCAGTTTATTTGCGGAACATTTATTCGAGCGCGCGTGCCATAAAAKAAAACGAAATGAATAATAGCCAGGTATGTGTAGTATAAACGCATAAATTCGTACACACACACACACACAACTCGCTTCATGGATTCACAGTTTTTGAACGTTCAACCGTATGGCATACCTCCTAAGCTGCCACTTTCAACAACTGCTCGCTGGCATTTTGTTTATTCGGGACTCTTGCAACCGAAAAGCAACATTACAACAAAAGTAAGAACAATAAATAAGAAGAAGAACAAACAGCCGGCGAATTTTCTTCAAATGTCACCAAACTCAGTTCACTCGGGTGGCTCGTGCAATTGACAGACAGAGACGTAGGGATTGACATTCATCAGCCAAACAAACAAAAAAGCATACAAGTTCARCAATCCATTTTACATGGCGGCAAGCGAGTAATGGCAGCGCGCAGCGTAATTGCTTACGACTATTGATTTAATTCCTCAAACTTGTCGTTAACTTGAGGAACATTTTTTTTACTAAACTAAGCATGAGGAATCGTTTCCGTTGAAGGCTTAGGCGGGTACTCGCTGATTTCTATAAGTGTTGAAGTGTTGATTCATCGCCCGTTTGGGTCCTCAGTTCTGTTGTTAGTGTACCCCTCTTATGCTTATTAATATTCGCATATTATTACTTTTGTTGGCATTTGCATTTCCAATCAAAGGCGAGTTCTTTGTGAGCATATTTATGCATAATATTTCTTTACTAACAAAGAAAAGTTAATAAAATATGACAGCTATAGATTGTTCGAAGTATTTATGAGTGGCTTCATTGATATTCAAGGTCATGGTAGGTTAAGCTTGTAATATCCACAGATATTTACGAATAACTCTTGGCTCTGGTAACCAAATGCAATCATTCAGTGGAATTGAATGTTACTCATACGCCCTTGTCGTGGTCTTTTGGAGTAACCTACAGCAAAGTTTGAATTTCACGTATGGTTTCACAACTACAAGGATTATAAAATCAGTATACAGCAAAATCAATCTTTCTAAATTTTATCAAGAGACTAGTCCGTAGTTCAAACATATTCAAAATCTAAAACTTGTTTAAACATTTGTGATGGAAAATAAGGCAATGCTAACATGTTTTGAAATTCAGGCAATTTGATCATTAACAGCAAGTAAAATTTAAGAATACAGTTATATCACTTTATGAAGGCCTTACATAGACTATTCTATCGCATATATGTCTCTTGTTATAATCGTTATGTTGTCCTCTCACAAATATTTGAAAGAGACCAGCAATCTAAGATAGGGAGCTGAGAAATGTCGTATCGAAGACGGCTATCATAAATTTTGCTATTACATTGATGGTATTTAAAGATATATTAATAAGTCCAAAGTTATTGAAATCAATCATTTTAAAAATAATTATGAACAAAAAAAAAATAAATTCCTATGACTGAAAAATTAGTTTTCAATATGTGTATCCCTAGTTCCCATTAGGTCAGGGTAGTCCCATATAAAAGTTATCTGACGAAATTGTTGATAATGCAAAGATCTCTAACATCAAAATTTATGTTCAAATTTAAATACTTATGTTTTTTAGCTTATTTTATTTTTATCCTGTTCAAAAGACCAAAAGCCTTCTACAAAGTACATATTTTAATAAAAAAAATTTGCAAACATATACCATATATATTGGATTATTCAAAGCTTCTATATCGTGGCTGCCGGGTGATTGCYTATGCAGACGATGTAGGATCAAAGGAATGTATGGTCAAAGGAAAGTTTCTGAGTACCGTGTACGAGTTCATGCAAGAGTATCTCAACGTTGTGACAAATTGGGAGGTCAAATGTGGTCTCCCCATCAACCCAAGCAAAACCGAGAAGATTTTATTCAGTAGAAGGTATTATATGCCGGGAGACATATATCAAATGGGAGACATTCGACTGCAAACGACAGATCCAGTGAAATATCTACCTGGATAAGAAACTTTCATGGAAGCCGAATATCAAAAAGTGAGCAAAAACGGCGTCGATTGTCTTATAAAGCTGTAGAGCAGCCATTGGCAGGTGAGGTCTCACACCGAAAGTAGCCTACTGGCTCTATGACACCATGTCAAGCCCATTATGTTCTATGGAGTCTTTAGATGGTGGAAAGCAAAGAAACTGAAGTAGAGGGACAGTGAGCTTCCTTACGGATGGGTGAAAGTCTGGGGGGAAGGTTGGTGGAGGGTTTACTGTCAGATGCTCTCTATCAACTCCAAATTCAGACAGTGTCTTCCAAGGAGAGGTTGWTACAACGGAGTGCAGCCACCATCAGAGAAGTGAACATTCACTCAGATAGCAGAACGGCGATACAAGCCTTGAACTCATTTAGAGGAGGATATCCGCGCTATAAATAGCATTGAGTGGTTCGCTCGCTTCCATTCCCGAAATTTCGATGCGAAAGATGCACCTCGCTCTGGTCGACCTATCGTTGAAAAAGTCGATGAAATTAYGGAAAAGATTGTCTGTGAAAAATTTAATGGACCGAATTAACATTTGCGATTCTTTGTTGAAACGAAATGAAGTCGAACCATTTTTGCAGCCATTGATAACAGGAGACGAACAGTGGATCAAATAAAACAAGTGTTGGGACGCCTGAGTGTTTGGTGGAATTGGAAAGGAATCATCCACTATGAGCTGACCTAGCCTGGTCGAACGATTGATTCTATATTTTACTACCAACAACCGTTGATATTGAAGCAAGAAATAGAAAAAAACAGCCAGAACTAATCAACAAAAAGGGCTTCGTATTCCATCAGGACAACGTTAGATTACACACATCTTTGATGACTCTGCGAAAACTGGGAGAGCTTGGCTGGGAAGTTTTGATGCATCCGCTAAATAGCTCTAACCGTGCACCATCGGACCACCATTTGTTTCGGTCAATGAAGAACTCTCTTAAAGGAATACAGTTGGCTTCAAGAGAAGCCAATGAAAAGTACTTGTTGTTTTTCGCCGAGAAACCAGAAAAGTTTTACACTGACAAAATAATGTCTCTCGCAGAAAATCGGCAAAAAATTGTGGACCAAATTAATGCATATTTGATTAATTAATGTTCATTATAGAAATACGAAAAGACTTTTTCGACTACCCTATATTACTATTATTCTCACAAAATTCCAAAGCAAAAAGTGACTTTAAGTCGGATTGTTTTTTTTTTGTTTTGAAAACTACCAACTAATTAAAAGAGACTATGATGCCGATATTATAATCTAGTTTTATACAAAAATTTTAAATATCAATAAAAAAAAATTCTTTATCTTTCACTTACTCGCATTTTTCATTAGTAAATCGAAATTTTTACCCCAACTTCGTATTTCCTCGAGACTGGGTCTATAACAAACGAAAAAGATGAAAACATTTTATCACACAGAAAGCATAATATATGGAAATTATAAATTGTTTATACTTACTGTTCACCGTCCAAAAGCAAATCCACGCTCGCTGGATCACGTCTTGTTGGTGCATTGTCTTCCGCATTTTTTATTGCCAAACTGGAAGAATCAAACAAAAAATACGCGGAATTCAAAATAAGGTTAATATAAACATTCACCTACAATATATACTCCCATCTAGATACATAGGTACATATATACGCCACGAATATTGTTTTGCAATACAAATTATATTTATTCGTAAAATAATCTGTTTGGATTTACATACACGAGTATGTGTGTATGTGTGCGTATATCCTGCTGAATAATATGTAGTAGATATGCATATATACACTACATGGGTATTTCCATTGAATACATACAGAGTGAACAAAGTTTTCTGCATAAAAGCACTCATGCCGCGTAGAGTTGAGAAGCGTGTGCGACCAGCTGTTTAGCTATTTAGCATAAAACTAAATCACAGATACTGTCTGCGGTGACTGACTGTTGTGTAAATTCATCGTGAATTCAATTAGAGATGGAGAAGGTGAAGGCGAAGGAGAGCCCGGTCAGAGCACTATGATCGTCGTATATGTACGTGCTCCGCTAGCATTCGCGGTGGTGGGAGTAGGTGGAAATGAGAAAGGGAACTTTTGACATAATTGCCTTAGTACATACGTACATGGTATGCGCGAGTGCCCATCAACAGCGCTAGCATAAAAACCATTTTTAATTTATATACATAAATTTTAGTTTACATATATACACTTGTATATATAAATATGTGTGTGTGTATTTAGAGGTTGCTTATTAAAGTACATTTCCCTCTAACTTTTTATTTATTTTCTTTGTTTGGCGTGCGACCACATGAAATGTGGCAGAAGCGTAAATTTTGCATTACAGTTCTGAAGTGTGGAAATTTTGATATTTTTTTAGGAAAAATGTGCAAGGGTTTCAAGGTGATGAATATATGAACTTAGAATAATTTGTGTTTATTTTTTATTTTTTTGTGAATTTTTTAAAATTTAAGTTAATGGCTTTCAGTGTTCGGAAATAATTTTTACAAAATAGAACTTGCTTTATTATTTATGTTGTAGTTTGCAAAGAATTTATTTTCAAGACTATTAAAATTCTAACTGTTTCCGTTACCTCTATAGTTCTGAAAAAAAAAAATCAATGAACTGTTATTTCTTCTACAGCTTAAAGGAATGCTACTATTTTCGAAAAAGTACTTATTTATAGTGAATCGCTCTGAATCTGAATATATATTTTAATCAGAATTATCAATAGAGGTATTTATAATTATATTTTACCTCATTTAGCACATATTTCTATTCAAATCTGCATTATGTGGTCTAATCATTTTCTGATTGAAAAATATTAAATTCCATGCAGCCGTTTGCAATCTGTGGCACAAATGAATTTATCATGTCAAAGTATCAAACTTTCAAGAAGTTAAAATATATATTTCAATATTTTAAATATTAAGCTTTTCTAAAAATTTAGAATGTCAGCAAACTCTCTTAGTCAACCCGTTCGACTACCTGTCTATACGTGAAATAGTTCCATAATTGTTAAGATATCGAACTGAAATTTGGCACAGACTATTTCTGAGACAAAGCTACAATACGCCAAAAAATTATTGTAATCGGACTCATAGCTGCCATACACGCAGAGCTATCRAAACCGAGAAAAATATATATTTGTACACTTTTATGCCTTAAGARGTGAACTKTGTAGTGTWTTRCARYTTCGTTGCAGCCGMAGTTAAACTTTTTTCTTGTTTTATATACTTTCAAAAATCGCTTCAATACCATATTATTTATTTTTAGCAGAGCTTCAGCATTTCATTTATCCTCGCTATCGCTTTTTCACTTATATTTGTACACATATATTGCATGGAAATTTATTTTTGCTCGCTTATCATTTCGACAACACGTTTTCCCATCTGGTTTGCTTTGCTATTTGCTTTATTTTACCGATTTATTTTCAAACTTTTATCAACAGAGTTGTTTACTTCTTTCAGTTATTATTTTTGTTTTTACAGATAAGCAGTTATCTAACATTCAATCGATAGTTTGTAATGCGAGTCAAAATCGATAAACCAAAACAATGATTTCAGCACAACGATGTGTAAGTTGCTGAAACAATACTCTCGTTTATGCGTTTCCAAATCGACGAAATTAAACAATATTTGTTGTCGTATCTATAAACATTTTGTKTAAGTAATTGTTTGCAGTTTCACTTTAATTATCATTTGTTAGCGCTGTCACCTACAAACTTACCTTTGTTTCAATTTCTTAAACAAATTTCGCCAACGTTCACTCATAACGTCTGCCACAGGTACCACAAACACTACTATCACGTTGCCGAATGGTCATACAGTTCGATTTTAGGCAACAAATTTCAGAGAGATTTCGTTCGTTTCGTTTCGTTTCATTGCATTTCCTTTGTTCAAGTCAATCAATCATTTGCCACATTAGCACCACCTCCTGCAGTCAAGCGTATGCACACGAAACTATTATTAAGCAATATCTTATTATTGTTGTTGTTGTTGGCGATCATTAAAAGCACACCATCACTGGCCGAGCTGAGGAAACAATTTTTCAAAGCTTAGTCAACACACTGCCACAGGAACACGCATACTCACACAAGCACATGCACGCGCTTAACCATCGACATGAAAGTATATTATTAATTATAGTTACTCATACGCCCGGTTGTACCAGTTGTACCATTGAAAAAGCACTGCAACTGTATGTTGAAGCATTTTGTTGCTTTAACTGCATAATTAGCCAAAGTTGTCGGCAGCAGTGCGCACTCGGGCACCCGTGGCAGTGCCGCYAAATGGCAGGCCGCATACAAATTGGCTCACACCAAAGTGTTGTGTTGTGCACAAGAAATGAAATCTCGCTACAAAACTTTCAMCTTATGCGACACCTCGGCCTCGGCGATGAAAGTGCGCGCCAAGCCCGGCARGTCTGAGGTAAGTTAACAGCAACCATTAGCTTGACATTGCCGAGGTTTCGCTTACTGAGCTCCTAGAATACATTACGAGTGCTTGACTGCCACCAACAGTTGCATTTGTTTTAWTACTTATTACTCATATAGGTAAGCTTGTGTACGTAGGTGTGCACATAAGTGGCTCAGTGGCCCAGTGCCGTTTGTATGCGGCACAAAGGCTTTGGTTTTGTTCGCATTGTTGTTGTTTGTTTGTTTCTATTGTTATTGTTGTTGTTTTGGCACATTTAAGGACAATATTGACATGGTGCTTGAGAGGGATCTAGGCACACATACAAGYATGTACACAAATACATGTGCCGTGGGTGCAACTATGCGCACACATTTGAGCCGGCATATGTAAATACTTGTCTGTACTTAAGTAGTATACTGATGGGTAAGTGTGTATGCACTGCAATGGTATATGCACCTTTAGGAACCTGTTGCAAATGTTGCATRTACAACATGCAATAAATAAGTAGAATGAAATCAGTTAGGTACTTTAGTACGAACATCAGCAAAGGGCTAGTGAAGACCTCCAAAAAGTAAAAATTCTAGCAAGCACCCATATCACACAGTTTTAGGGTTCATTCAGTGATCTGGAGGTAATTATACCCTGAACAAAGTATATTAATTTTGCGACGAAATGTATAAGACACAGATTGAAACTTCAGAGACCTCATAATGTATGTATGTAAATAATCAGCATGATGACCTGAATCAATTTACCGTCTATCAATATCTCTGTATAATTTTTGTTCTATGTTCATCATTGTTTCCTTGCATCATCCTCTCATGAAACTAGTTATGGATGTCCAAAGCTTAGAAATGAATTATTAAGAACCCTTTTAACTAATACGAGCCAAGAAACAACGATACTCACTACTCTTTCTYATTATCTAAAACAAGTGACTCAGGTAGTAAACTGTCGACAGAAGCAATATTTCCCCCCTCACTTCGGCACTTATTGTGGCAGAGAAAATCCGCAAAGCCGTCACTGGTTTCCAATTAAAGTCACACYTATTCATAGCACACTACTTATGCATTGCGTTTTYAATTCCCAYGCGTAGAAGGGCAAATAAAGSAAGCAAAGCGTAAAAGRAAAACTAAAGTTAATTTTTCAACGACTGCCAGCAAAGCCTTCTCAAGTGTAGCAGGCGAAATGTGAGCGAATGGCTGTGGACATGACACTGATATCCAAAGCATATTTTATGTATGTGCGCGTTTATATGCGTGTGTGTGTTTACTTTTGAAAGCATGTCGAATGGTGACATGTGTTTTGGCAGGTTTATTTATTTACATATATTGTAACGACAAGAGGGACCTGTTCTGTGGACGGTGGGACAGCGTGCACTAGTTACGTACGTCTGTATATGCACTATATATAGGTAAAAGGTATACAAAGAGTGCTGAAATGAACAAATTGAAAAATAGCATAGTTTTCCGTTATTGATTTTGGACATGAAAACTAATTGCTTTGCCATAAATGGAAGCTTCAAATGTAAATATAAAATGACAGCCAATTACATATAACAGTTGATTGATTTATACGACATTTCCACCGAACTTTAAGCACAATTTTCACTTATCGTCTGGTGAACTTGCATTCATAACACAAACTGACCGAATAACTGTTTATACGCAAGCAAATTGACAATAAAATGTTGATAGATTCAGCGAAAATTGCAACTATAGAAATTTTACTAGAATAATTTTTGTTAATTACGCAGTCCACATGTATTTGTAAGCCACTTTGTATACTCCAGGATTTCTTCTAGTTTATGAAATGAGCTTTTTGCCATTTCACCATGGAAAGATATACGATCCAACAACGAATCGAAATTATACAAATTTATTAAATTTATAAAATTTTAGTTTTTATTATTAAGTTCGGAGTCAGTGGTAGTGGAGTCAACTTTAAGAGCGCTACGTCCAATTTACATTCGTCATAATCGTCCTGTCCAATCAACAATTGAGTATCCAGTGGAAAAATTTGAATCCACAGGCACAGTAGGAAATATTCCCGAGCCAGTGAGACAAAAAGTGCTCATAGTGTCGAGAAGATTGCTGCCGCTAGCGTATGAATTGAGGAAGGCCCAAATCAGTCTCTCACAGGTCGT